AAACAGTTATGGTATCTCACCTTCTGCCCTGGCCTATTCACATTTCCTATATCCTTCTATCATGCCTTCTATGTGACAGTTTTTAACGTGCTTATTCCTAATGTAGTGTTGTGTGCCCCTTCGAGCGGCATTCATGAAAACCCTGCACACACAAAGGAAGGAAACTGCGACCACAAAAAAGACCACACCATCTTGGTCTTCATACTTTCAAAAAGTATGATTTTTGACTATTATCAAATCTTGAATATGAGATCATGTCACCCTATATCGTATGGTTGAATTTTCCAATAATTAAATGAGTAGGTATCTCCAAAATCCCATTTTTATTGTCGGATAGTCTTTTACCATTGGAGTCGATTGGATAGCCTACATTCATCAAAAGTAGTCTTTGATTCCCTTCGCATATCTTAAAAAAAATTCATGTCACCTTCGGGCGCCTACTCGGATAGAGAACTGAACGTTGTATTTTCCCCAAATTAATAAAGTAGGCCGTTCCGATTTCACATTCTTCTAGTGGAATAATCAATAAGGCAAACCAGTATTTTTTCATTATACTCAACCACGCTACTTATATTCATAGATAGTAGGCTTCTAGTCTTTCAGTTAATCTTTAATAGATGTTTATATTACCCTAGGTCTCATTAGCTCATACAGGACTGCTAGTTGATTTTTCTTGCACCCTATTAGTTTGCAAAAATACAACCACCGATCTTTCATCATTTTATGCAACCTTGAGAAAAATATAATTAAGGAAGAATAATGTTGGTCGTCTTGACCTCGATAAAGAGAGAGTAGTTTATGTTTTACCTGCCAATTTACTACAACGTCGTTTCGATAGTAAGCAAATTGGTCAGCAATCCATCCAGTAAGCTCGGCCACAGTTGCTCGGGTCTGTTTGAGGCTACGCATCGCCATCAGAGTAAGGCAGGTAAATGAGAAACCGGGTTGAAGGGAGGCATCGACGCGATAGCGTTGAGCCAGGCTGGGGTCAGATGGAGGCCAGGCTGCCCAGGCCAACTGAAGCTGATCGGGTCCGGATGAGGCTACATGTAGACCAGAGCCTCCTTGTCCGCCTGGCCCAATGACTCCGTTGGTGAGGCAGGAATAGGGCAGTCCATCAGAGTCGCGTAGTTGGCCGAACTCCATGTCCGTCTCCAACAGTGAAGAGTAGACGGGATCACGAAAACGTCCACCAGCTTTTCTATACATCTCGAGGCCAGGACTTAGTTGGGCAGCAACTCGAATACGACCTCGAGCCTGGCGAACAAGTAGGGAGTGAAGCTCACCTGTAACCGGACAGCCACAATTCTATAAATGGGCAGAAATAGATCATTAGAGGTGTTCACCCTATTTCGCTGAAGGTTAATTAAATTTTCCTATAATGATATGAATCGGCCTCCTAATTCCAATGCATTTCACGTAACCTTACCTTCTAAAAGGTATTTTCATCTAGGCTGAAGTGGACTGCAATCTCAATCTCATCTAGGTCCTGTCCATAACCCTAGCGGTACTCGAACCATGTCAATACAGTGTATAATCTTGACATGTTAAACATTACGCCACATTGCCAGGAGTGCCCTTGGGTAAGATTGTTGATAAAGCACACTTATATGTGCTATAGCAATCGACGATATAACTTTCTTTTCTTTTTTCGATATAACTTTCTTTTCTTTTTTTTCGTTTTGAGCAACTTTTTTGGGTAATCTAAAAAATCTACTACAAACGAATGAAAAAGAACAGCAATCAAGAGAGCCATTAAACTTAGAACATTTATACCTGTTTCTCCTAGTATATTTGCTAATATGCATATCTAGTAGTGAAGCCTAGTACCTCTATGCAGCATAAGGTGATTTAATGACTGAAAGTGGAATTTCGCCCAATAAAGAAGATATGTATATTAGATTTTAAAGGATTCACAGTTGAAATTTCCCACCATCACATGGAACTTTATCCAGACCTGCCTCCCAGAACTGCAATTTTGACCTCGACTAGGTGTTGTCATCACCCCCAACAGAAATCGAACTCGATTAGGGCAGTATATAATATCGGCGTTTTACCGCTATGGCACACTGGCAGTATATACAATTTTTGATAGGTTTTTTGATAAGGCAAACTTATCATGGACTGCGTTATTTATATTTCGAGTAGAAGTGTTTGGTGAAGAGATTCAAAGGTCGGTTCCTTTTTGCTGCCCTAATTACTTTGAGCCATCGCTTCGGGTTTCGTGCATAAGCGAACACTGACATGCACATAT